AGCACTCAACTTTATTTACTATAGAACCCAGGACTACCAGCCAAGGGATGGAACCACCCATTTGATCTGGCCCTTCCTTATCAATAACTAATTAGGAAAATTCCTTATAGCTGCATCTTATGAAGGCATTTTTCAATCAAGTTTCCATCCTTTCAGACTACTCTAGTTTGTGTGTCAAGTTGACATAAGACCAGCCAGAACAATGATATTATATACCTTTAATCTCAGCATTCAGAAGATAGAGGCAGGCAGATTTTTGAATTCACCAGCCTGAGACCCTGTCTTTAGAAATTATAGAATTTGGGACTGGTCTCTTCCACAGAGTCTGGGTTTAATTCCCAGTACCTACATGGTAGCTCACACTTGTCTGTAACTCCACCTCTAAAGCTTCTGACACCCTGACATGGACATACATGCAGGCAAAACACCAATGAACATAAAAAAATAATAAAAGTAACTATAGAATTTTATTTTTTTTTTTTTTTTTTTTTTTTTTTTTTTTGAGACGGGGTCACGTTATAGCCCTTGCTGGTCTGGAAATTGTTATGCAGATCAGACAGGACTCAAAATATCTGCCTGCTTCTATCTTCTGAGTGTTGAGCCACCACACCTGGCCCCTAATTTCTAAACATGATAAATGTAAACTAGCTGTGGGGATTCACATTCGTAATCTCAGAACTCAGGAGTCTGAGGCAGGAAAATTCCCTTGAGTTTGAGGCCATTGTGGGCCACAATGTGAGAACCTGCCTCAAAAAACAAATTTAATAAATGCAATAGTGTGGATGAACCTAAAACAAACAAACAACAACAAAACCCTACTCTGTCACATAGTACAAACACATATATACTATGTATGAAGTACAATAAGGTAGAAAAGACCAGATATTCAATGCTGATTTAGTGATTTACTTAAAAGTACTGCTTGTACTGCCTGTTTGCCAAGAATGACTTCATTTGCTACTTGGAACAGAATGCCTTGAAGAAATATCTGAAGCAGTGGTTGTTGTCCTTAACAATCTGCTGTCAGTATGCTTCTATAAAATCTTGCTTGTGGCCAGCCCTCTGGTGGCAGTGCATGCCTTTAACCCCAGCACTCAGGAGCCAGAGGCAGGTGGATCTATGTAAGTTCAAGGCCAACCTAGTCTACAGGGTGAGTGCCAGGACAGGCTCCAAAGCTACACATAGAAAACCTGTCTTGATAAAACAAACCAAGAAAACCCCAAACCAAACAAAAGTTTGTTTGCTTGCTTGCTCTGTGTTGTAGGTTTAGAGAATAAAATGAGAATGCAATCTAGATCTGATATTAGGCTTTCCAGGAGCTGTCATGGCTTCCATCTACTGGTGAATAATCTTTCTTCTTCTTTCATTGATGTCAGAATGCTTATTCCAGAAAGATTGCCACAACATATGATTCCATTTACATAAACTTCTAGACAAGGCGACCTACTTCATAGTGACAGAAAACTGGCAATTGTGCCTTGAGGGGACACAAGGAAAGAATCGCCAGGACAGAAATTGGCTCTGGGTGACAGGTTATTGGCTCTCTGGAGATTGACTTCCTAGCTGAATGTCAAAATCTAGCAGTGTGTACTTTAAACATTTGCAGTTTATCCTGTGTTAAGCTCAGTAAGGCTATTTTGCTTAGTTTATTATGTAATTTAAAAAAACTTTTTTTTTTTTTTTTGAGACAGGGTCTCATTATATAGCTTTGGCTGTCCTGAAACTGGCTATATAGATCAAGCTGACCTCAAACTCATAGAGATCCACCTGTCTCTGCCTCCTGGGTGCCAGGATTAAACATATTCAAGTAAGCCTATTTTAAAAAATATAGAACAAACTGATCTCAGACTCATAGTGATCCACCTGTCTCTGTCTCCCGAGTGCTGGGACTAAACACGTTCAAATAAGCCTATTTTAAAAAGAAAGGCAGATGTCCTTGTCTGTACAGGTCTCGAAGCCCATTTGGCAACTTTAATCTCAGCATTCTGTGAGCAGACAGAAATGAATCTCTTGAGTTCAAGGTCATCCTGGTTTAAAATTTGAGGGCAGGCAATAAATACTACACAGAGAGACCCTGTCTGAAAACAAACAAACAAATGAAAAAAACAAAACCAAATGAAACAACAACAAAAGCAGAGGCTGGAGAGATGAGTCAGTGCTCTTCCTGGGGACCTGAGCAGAACCTGATGGGAGATGTCATTCTGTATATGTTTCTCATACTGGTTAATAAATAAAGTACTGTTGGCCAATAGGAAAGGAAGATAGGAGGGACTAGGAGACAAGGAGAAAATAAAAAGTAGTAAGGAGGAGTCAAGATAGAGAGTCTGGAGAGAGCAGTATGCGGCAGCCGGCTCCCAGTAAGAAGAACACGTGGACATACATAGATTAACACAAATGGGTTAATAACTAAGACAGAGCTAGCCGATAAGAAACTAGTACCTGGCCAATAGCATAATATCATATACAGAGTCTCTGTGTGTTAATTGAGACTGGCGCGGCGGCAGGACAAGACCAGGCGGCGGACAAAAAAACCTGTACTCGTTACAAGAACCCATGTAGGCAGGCTTGTAACTCCAGCTCCAAGGGAGCCAGTGACCTCTTTTGGCCTCTGTATGAACATGCACATAAAAATAATTTTTTTAAAAAGTCAAAACCACATATTTATTTATTTAGTTAGTTAGTTATCTCTTTAGGTGTGTGTGTGTATGTGTGTGTGTGTGTGTGTGTGTGTGTATGTGTGTGTGTGTGTATGTGTGTGTGTGGGCAAGAGGACAACAACTTGGCAAGAAGGAGCTGATTCTTTCCTTTGACCATGTGGGTCCCAGGAATCAAACTCAGGTTGTAAAACTTGACAGCAAGTACCTCTTGAGCCGTATTGCTGGCCCGGCCCTTACTTTTGAAACCTGTCTTCTAGTCAGTGGTTTGAAAGGAGCTACATAGCTTCTTCATAAAAAGCCATAGTGGGAAATACTGGGACACCCAAAGTATGAGGCTAGCTGGAATCCTCCGTCTGGCTCACAGTAGAATTTTGGTGCCCTCTCATGGCCTTCAGGGGCATTTCAGGCAAAGCTTTGTCCTTTTCTGCTTGGTCTTCTTCAGGGTGCCTTTTTATCCCTGGCTAAAGACCCTGAAAGCCATCCTTCCTTTTGTCAACTCACCTGTTGTGCCTACTGGACAGGATTCTGTCACTATATATAACACAGCCTCTACAAGATAGCTATGTTATGAACATGTTATAACATGTTCCTGCCTAACATGAGATGAGTTTCCCTTGGACAAACATCTGCTCCCAACCTCTCACCAAGAAGGTTCCTAGTTAGGTGTGAGTGGAAGAATAGGCGCATGTAATATATATATAAAATTTTTCTTATTTTACATATCGATCCCAGTTTCCTCTCCCTCCCCTCAACTCTCTTCCTATCCTATCCCCCCCCCCCACTCCACAGGGAGGATGATTGATGCCTTCCAGGAGGGATCATCAAAAGCTGTCAAGTCATTTGGAGTAGGGACTAGGCCCTCCCTCCTGCCTCTAGGCTGAGGGAGTATCCCTCCATGAGGAATGTGCTCCCAAAGTCCTTTAGTGCACCAGCGATACATCCTGGTTCCACTGTCGGTCCCTTAGACTGTCCAGGCTTTCTAACTGAGATCCACGTTCAGGGGGTCTCAGTGGGTCCAATGCTGGTTTCCCAGCTATTAGTCTGGGGGTCCATGAGCTAAGAATGGGCTTTTTTTTTCTGAAGGCTGGTGCTGGTTGCTTTGCCCATATCTTCTTGAGGTAGAGTGGCTACCCTGTCTTAGGACTATACACCAAATACACTTTTTTCCCCTCCACTGACCTGCACTTTGTTCCCTTGAGCCTGGTCAATCCTTTTTTGAGGCCCAGGGTCCATGTCAATCTAGGGGGCCTTTCACAAGAGCAATTAATGCACCACTTTCTTCTAACCCCAATGACAGGTTTAGTAATGACCAGAAGGCTCCCATGAGCCTTGGATGTCAGATTTAGGTTAGTGATGTTGTCTGCAAGATTGGACTAGAGACTGAAGTCTTACAATTAGCTGGAAGCACAGGTTTTCTTCTTGGGAAGGGAGACTTGCATGGTGCTGATCATAGGGCAGTCTTCTCTGATGTGACCTTAGCTGATTACAGCTCCCAGTGCTGGCTCCACACCAGGAAAATGTCCTTCATATTGTTGGAGGTCCCTCAAATGCCATCTATTTGTGGCTTGGCTCTGAGACTGGCACGAGTCATGAGTGATCCCAGGGACAGGATTATTTTTGGCAGGAGGGGTGGAGCTTGCATTAAGAAGCCTAGCACCATGCTGCCCAGGGACAGACCTCTAGATGTATACCTCCACTGTCCAGCTGGCTGCTGAGAACCAGGTAGGATACACTTAGCCCCTTGCTTCTGTCTAGGGATCCTAATGGCAGGAAATCTTTGCCATGGCCTCTCCAGGGGCTAGAGGGGGGAGAAGGACTTGTAGTTAGGAAGCCCCCAGTGGCTTTTCTTGCTCAGGATTGTTTCAGTCATAGTGACCTCCTACTCTTCCTCATTCTAGACATAGCAGGCCAGAGTCTCAAGAGTAGCCCTTTTAGGGGACAGTGGCTGGCAGCCTTAGCTAGCTGGCTCTGGTTATCTTGGTTCGTTGAGGTAGGGCAAAATGGGGCCTTGGATATTTGGGTAGGACTAAATGGGCATACAGACCTTGGGAACAGCCAGAACAGATTGCTGGGGCTCAGAGGGGCTCATCTAAGTTCTGTGACCTTTGGCCTAGGCTCCTCTTACAAAGTTTTGAACAGTCTCTGCCCAGTACCAACATGACCTTGGTAAGCTCAGAAAACCTGTTCCAGCCAAGGCTGGTGGAAGGTCATCATCCAGAAGACTAGTCACCTATGTATACTATAGATCCTCTACTATGGTTAGCTGCCAGTAGTAATAGCTGGATAGGCCAGGGATGACTGTCAGAGGGAATTGATCTCTGATGGGTGGTCTTTGATTCAGACCACTGTATATAGAGGCTAAGAAGGGAAGTCAGTCTCATTGAAAGATCTCAGAGATGTGAGGGAACACTATTCAAATAGACTAACACTAGTCTTTAGTTTACTTCACTAATATGTAGTATATATAATTATAATATATAATAAAATCATATTTCATTTTAGGACTGACAGTGTGTCATGGTAAAGTTATTTGGAGTTCAATTGAAAGTAAGGGAAACTGAAGTAGATTTCAAATCAGAAGAATGAATTAGAAGAATCTGGAAAAAGCAGAGTCTGTCCTGTGGTTCCTCCAGATGGAAATGGACTACCAGGGAGAGGGCAGGTACTATGAGGTCAGGCAGGGTGATAGCAATGTGTACTGCTTAGTGCATGGAGCCTGGATTTGTGAAGACCCTGCTGGGCCCAAAGTCTTGCTGTCACTCCTGCACCTCTTCTGATGTGCAATGGACAACTTCCAGTATAGTGTCCAGCTCAGTGATCGAGAGTGGGCTGAGTTCTCAGCCACTGCTGATGAGTGTGGCCTCTTGCAGGCTGGCCTGGCCTCTGGTGACGAGCTCTTGTCCAGTGACCTTGGAAGTGACCTTGGAAGTGACAGTGGAAGCAGCCCCCCTAGGCCCCCACCCCTCTTCACGGGGCAGCTGGCTCTCCAGGGGAGGGGACAACAGGGCTGTGAGTTGGAGGACGTGGTTACTCAGCAGCTGGTCAGCAGGTCTCAGTGTGAGCCTGTCCTGGCTCTGGAAGCCAGTCATCAGGTAGCCAGCACGTCTACACAGTCAGAAGCTCTACCCTTCCTCGGCTCAGACAGTGTCTGTCCTGGCCAGGCCTTGTCCTTCCCAGGGTCAGCAACTCTCAGGGACAAGATGCAGAGGCTTTTGCAGGGCCCTGCTCCTAGCTCTCCTGGTGAGCCCTCTCATAACCCTGAACCTGGCCACAGTGCCATGCCTCAGAGTGCCCCTGACAACCTTGAAACTCCACCTCGGAACCCTGGTCGTAAGAAGAAGCGTGCTGTGGGCACCAAGGGGGGCAAGTGCTCTGGCTCTCTGGGATCTGCTGCTGTTCAGATGAGCTCCCCACAGCTTATGGAGACCAGGCCCAAGGAGGTTCTTGTGTCTGGGACATTAATGGTGGAAGACCAGCAGGATAAGACACAGTCAGACTCTGCAGGTGCTTCTGAACATGGCTCTAGTATCCCTGGACAGATGGCCAGACAAGAGTCAGGCTTGGATCTGTCTATACCTGTTATAATAACTGAAGAAGATACAGACAAGATCAGAAAGACACGCAGAGCTGTGCCACACATGATATCCAAACCTGTCCAGGAAGCTCATCCAGATTTCTCCATGGCCACACCAAATGTGTCTCTTTCTATGCATGCATCCAAGCCTCAACCCTACATGGCTTTGTCTAAGCCTGCCTCCAAGCCTCAGTCTGACACAGATTTGTCTACACATGTCTCCACATCTGACATGACTTTGTCCACACTTGCCTTCAAATGCCAACCCAATACAAATCAGCCTACACCTGCCTCCATGTCTCAATGGGACAAAGCTGATTGCACACCTGGACTGCAAGAGGATCTATCTTCGGCAGGCTCAGAGATCAAGCCAGAAGTTTATCCCTCTATGCCTGCCCCAGTGGTTATGCTTTGTACAGATCTGCCTCATTCTGTTTCAAAGACTGATTCTGAAGAGAGGGTGTCTATACCTGCTATGCCTTCCTTATCCCCTACTTCCCAGGCTGAAGCTGCCATGGTGGATACAGATGTGACTGTGCCTTCTAGGGGGTATTTTGAGAAGCCAGTAGGACAGCTCTCAACAGGGTCCTCAGGCTACTCCTCAGGGGAGCCTTGCCCAGGTCCTGTCCAAACCCCCAAGAAGAAGAAAGTACGATTCTCCATGGCTGTACCTAGCCATGAAGAATCAGGATCAGGTGAACCTACAGGCCAACCCTTCCTAACCCCAGACTGGCCTCCAGCTCCCAAGACAGCATCAGTGAGCCGCGGGGGGTCTGCAGCCTGGGATGCTATAGCTGTTGGGCACCGACTCCCCCAGCCTCGGATCCTCAAGCACCTGCCTCCTCCTACATCCTCTGTCTCAGCAGAGCCTGAGCCTGGAAGCTGCTATGCAGTGACTCTCCCTGAGGCCTATGAGTTCTTCTTCTGTGACACCATTGAGGAAGAAGATGAAGATGTAGAGGATGAGGCAGCAGCTAGCCAAGCCCTGGATGAAGTTCAGTGGCCTGACACATGCGAGTTCTTTTTTCGAGACAGCAGAGTCCAAAGGTCAAGTAGTCAGAGGGGACACTCCCTAGTCCTACACTCAAGAGCAGAGGCTGTGGCACCTGATTCCCCTGGAGATTTAGTGCCTATCTCAATCCCTGAGGTCTATGAACACTTTTTTACCGAAGAAGGATTTGGGAATAGACAGCCACCAGCCACCCATATTCAACTACAGACCTCAGAGCTCTTCAGGGAAGTAGGGTCTGAGGCATACTCTAAGCCTGTTCCAGCTACAGCAGAACATCTTAGCTTGGCAATCAGAGAGACAGGTAGGTATTGATCAGGTCCCAGCCCCATCCAGGTCCTGGGCATATACTGTCCATGGAGTTAGGCCAAGAGGATATGGGGGAGGATCAGAAATCATCCTGATCATCTGCCTGTATATTATGTGTTATTGCATGCTCTGGGATCTACATGAGGAAAGGGTAAATTCTTAAGATACCCCAGGACACAGTCAAGATGGGGACAGCTGAGGCCAGACACCAGGGTTTTGACTTTGACACTGACTACTGACCTAAATCTAGCCCTAGATGCCATCAGGAACTTTTCTCCAGCTTCTAGGAGGGCATGTACTAGGGGCACATTCCCACTCAGGCCATGCTGATTGAGGCATTGTGGAAAAATCTCTTCTCTCCCCTCTGGAAACTATTTCACAGACCAGAGAACAGAAGACCCTAAAGTCTAATCACCCAAATCGTTCTGACTCAACTATGACACATGTTATCCAGTGTCTTAAGGAAGAGAAGTCATATGGAAGATCTGACTCAACATATTTGTCTAGGACAGATGGTATTTTATGTTAGGCACATCTCAGAGAGGAGCATTTAATGTACTTTTCTTTCCTAGGAGAGCTACGAAGTCCCCTTACTTCATTTACATTCAGCCAGAATGACATGTGCCTGGTGTTTGTTGCCTTTGCCACTTGGGCTGTGAGAACCTCTGACCTACATGCCCCAGATGCTTGGAAAACAGGTTTGGAGGTCCTGGGGATAGAGGGTGTTATACTTAGAAGACCTAGGGTCTATAGTTGTTTACCATATCTGCTGGGCCAGCAGGGATGAAGGGTACACTGGAGGTTCAGACTCTCTTTGACCTTGCTTTTATCATTGCTAACCTACTTCCAACGTACTGTTATTTGAAGGCTGGGTTACGTAGGCAGAAGGTAGTGCACTCAGAATACCTTGTGTCTCTCTTACAGTCTTGCTGGCCAACATTGGCACAATCTCTGCTATCCGCTACTTCCGCCGTCAGATTGGGAGAGGGCATAATGGCAGACCAAGACCCAGTTCCGACTCAAGCCCAAGCTGCTAAGAGCCAGGCTGGCCTGGTGAAGCACAGGACATGGGGATTAACCCAGGTGACAAGGACAAGATGTTGCTCTTCTCTCCATCTTTTGATCCCTGTCTTCTGAGGCATCTAGGAAGGAGCCAGGTCCTTGGTGCTGACTTACTTGAACTCAACCTAAGAGTCCAGCCAGTGGCTAAAGCCAAGTCCATTTTCTATACCTGAGAGGGTTGAGATTCATGCTGTGGGTGAGTGTGCCCTGAGCCAGGATCTGGGTAATAGGGTATCAGATTTGCAAGTAAAAAATAGCTGTATTTGAATTTACATGAAGTTCTTGAGATGTACTTGTATGAAGAAAGTCTTTGTTGTTATCTGAAATCCAACTTAATTGGGCACCCTGCATTTTGTCCAATCATAAATAAAGGATGAGCAACAGAAGAGGACTCTACAACAAGTCTAGGCCAAGAGGCTACTAAGTGCCTTCGTAGCTAGAGGGGGACAGTTCAAGAATTTTGCCCTATTGAAAGGCAGGCTTGGCTGACAGGGGTCTCCAAGGCCCTGACCCCTGAGGCACTATAGCCACAGCTTCCCTAGGCCTGGCCTGAGTCAATGAATAGGTTCTAGAATAGTGGTTCTCAACCTTCCTAATGTTGCAACCCTTTAATACAGTTCCTCATGTTGTAGTGACCCCCAACCATAAAGTTATTTTTATTGACTTCATAACTGTAATTTTGCTACTATTATGAATCATAATGGAAATTTTTTTTGGAGCTAGAGGTTTGCCTAGGGGGTAGCACCCCACAGCTTGAGAACCACTGTTATAGGGGATACCTCTGGGGGTGGTTTCTGAGGCCCTTGCAGTATGGGATCTGTGGGGCAGGGTTGGATCTTCTCCAAGAGCTCTGGACAGGATATACATAGAATTTGATAGCATCCTATGGAAGGATTGTCTCCTGATACTATAGGGGGCTTGAATGAAGCCAAGGCTGAGAGAAGTTGTAGAGTGGTAAGGTAGGTGAGGGGACTGAGGTGGCATGGTGAAGACAGTACACAAAGGTCCTTAGGATGGTGGGGTACTCTGGCTGCTCAGAGGGGAACACAGGGACACGGCAGCAATAAAAGCTCTTTCTTGTTTATGGTGTTGGTCTTTCTGGTCAGCCTTATTCTATGCACCCAACAATACTGGATCTTCCTGTACTTCTCTCTTCTTGTGACAGCTCTCATCCTGTTGGCCTCTGACCCTCATGTCTTCTATTTCACATACTGAGTTTGACAACCTGACTTTTTCAGTACTCTGCTTTTCACTCTCATGCTGTTCCCCACTTCTAATTAAAGGCCTGCTCTAGTACTTCCATTCTTTCTTCCCTAGATGTATAACTCCTGGGGATATCCAGGATCTCACAGATTTCCCTCACTGGTTTGTTCCTAGGAAGAGTTAACTCCTCTTAGTTGTGCTAGCTGCTAAAGCTAAGGAGCTAGAGCCTGGTGAGAGGTACTTCTATTCTCAGAGTTCTAGAGATACCCTTAACCTGCTGGAGTTAGGCCCTTGTGGATTTAATGTAGGTTAAAGGACTGGTATGGCTACATAGTCTTATCCAGGTTGGTGCTAGCTGGTTGTGTTTCTGAGAAGCAGCCGCCCACCTGGGGCTCATTAGATCCACTGGATGAGTCCCATCTCCACTGGAGTTTTCCTGAGCTGTGGCCACTTCTGGTGGGAGGGAGAGGAAGTCTTGTTCCAGACAGGAGCCTCCTCATCTAGTAGGGATGTCAGAAACAAGTCAGGCATCAGCCTTTAGGAAGTAGCACCCCTTCCCCGAAGGAGAGAAGACCGTCACTCACCTGGGAGAGGTGGCAGGGAACTGGGTGTACTTTCTCTGGCAGAGGTGACCTGGGAGTCCCAAAACACAAGTCTTAAAGCCAGCACAGATCAGCCCCCAGCTTTCTGTCTGACTGCACTGTCTCTGTCCCTGATTTCTCCCTGCCCCATATTCTGCTTTTCTCCTTGGAGTCCTAGAACCCTTTACTCAGCATCCCCTGATCCTGAGGCCTCCACACCAGAGTGGAGGATGTGACTTACAGGCTGAGGGAGGTCTGAAGGCTGTGGCTCCCTGTTCTTGATGGAACCTCTGTGTCTCTGGGAAGCTCTGGACTGCAGGGCACCTTTCTTGGAGAGCAAGTGGGAGCCCAGAGGCCTAGGGGAGCTGGAGATTCCAGAGCTGGAGTCAGAGACAGGCACAGACACGGAGACTGAGGGGAACGGGCTTGATAGCTCAGGTCCAGGTGATGTCTGCATCGCACAGAGGAACTGCTGGGAAAATGTGGGTTACCTGAAGCCCTGGTCTGGGACCACTGTGAAGCCTAAGGATCCCTTGCCCAGAAACACTCTCCCTTCATAGTTGTCAGGCTTCTGACATCTCTTGATCTCACTGTGGCATATCCACCTAGTAGGGCACTGACCTCATCTAGGCCTTGGAGGTCTGTAATCTTGCGGTGGGATGTAGCTGGTGGTGTGTAAGGGTCAGCATAGAGCGGGGAGTGTGGAACATCCAAAGAGTGGTCCTGAGCCTCTGGGCCACTGTCTAGGTCCAGTACACTCATCTACAAGAAGGAGATTCATAGGTTCCCTCAGTTAGATGCAGCAAGGACCTCCTGACCTCAGAATATATGGTCTCTGTGTGTTCCAACTAGACAAACAAGAAAGTAGAAGCAGAAGGGATAGTGGCCTGGGGTCATGGTATATGGTGGGCTCACCTTGGTTAGGTCCAGGTGCAGGGGCAGTGGGACAGCTGAGCCAGATACTTCCCTTCGAGCTTTGCCCCTGGGAGACTGGCTACTGCCACTCTGCCTCAGCTCTATCTTCTTCCGGCCAGTGCTGGCACAGTTAGAGTTGGTCTGTTTCTGTGGACACCAAGAACCACCCAGAAAGATCTCTAGGGCTTCTTCCCACACACTCTTCTACGAGGCTGTATGAAGGCTCCTTCAGTTCAACTGCCCTTCCTGGCAAACTACGGTCCAGGGTCACTGTGGGACAGTGAGACCTAGGCTCCACAGCAGACAGAAGTCCTGTGTTTTCTTAACCCATCCCATGTCATTCCTTTAGGTACTTACAGGTACAGGTTGGGCAGAGAAGCCTATGGTGGTTGGCACTGAGGATTCAGGGAGGGATTGGCTGGTGGGGAGCACAGGACACTCTAATTTCCAGCTGGTTCGTCCATTGGAAGAGAGTGAACCTCGGCCTCTAACCACAACCTAAGCAATAGAGGTAAAGTGAGTGGCTGGATCTGTCTCCTTATCTATCCCTGCTTGAACCTACCCTTCTGCTACCTAGTCTGTACCACCTGAGTTATAGGGGCCTCATTGACCCCCTCACCTGTGTGGGTCCATGTAGTCCTGGGACATTCTCTGGGCCAGGCAGCAGGTGGGCCCCATCCCTATGACAGACAGTCCGGAGGCACAGCAGCCATTGACTGTAATCCTCATAACTGGCACATACCACACGGATGGTGTTGATGAGGCGTCCTAGCACACAGACATGTGAGCTAAGGTCTGGCAGGACAGGTACATCCCCTGCCCCACAGATACCCCAGCAAAGAGTTGGAGCATCTATCATACTTAACCCTACTAGAAGTCCAGTCAAAGAGTAGGTAGATTCTGGGTAGGACCCTACCTTCAATGAGAAAGGAGCGGATCTCCTTTTCCTTCTCTTCTAGGTTGATATGGATGGCACTTAGTGGAAGTTCTCCCTGTAGAGTGGGTACGAGGTATTTATCTGTCTCCTCTCAGCTTCTTCCTGGACCTATCCTCCTATCCTGCCCCTCAGAGCTGGGCTGGACACTCAGGCCACCTCGCACTAAGGATGACACTCTGAGAAAGGCTAGGGAGCTTTGTTCTGGGACAACTCCACATTACCTCCTGTTGGTTCTTCACCAGCTGATGCCAGTTGGGATGCTTAGAGGGATCAGTCCCTGTCAGGGAAGCCCCCTTGGTGTGTTTTTAAGTGACTGTGAATACACACCAGTATCATGCTTTGGGTACACACACACACACACACACACACACACACACACACACACACACACACACAGTATGCATGGGAGGTGCTCAGAGACAAGGGAAAGAATGCATTGGGGATTACAAGAAGTAGCCTGTTCCATCCCACCCACTCCAGGATTAGTGGCCTCCATCTAGGATGAGAGGGTACAGAGGGTGGTGACTCCTCTGTGCCAGAGCAGAGACCAGATTGACCAGGGCAGTGGGGCCAGATGGGTGGAGCCCTGTGCTCTGTCCCAACAAGCCCTGAAATACAGGTTTCTGAGTCTTTACTCCCACCCCACAAAGGGCACCTTTAAGGGCAGGTATATGTGAAGAGGGCCAACCTTAAAGCTAAGCCCATCTGACTCCTCAGAGAAGATGGCTAGGGATGCTGGGTATAGTACCAGAATCCGGTCCCACTGCTCCTGTAAGGGGTCAAAGGATAGAGTCAGACTGGGCACCTAGAGTACAGCCTTACCTGCTAGTCCTTCCCTACCGTATTGCACCTCACGTCTTTTCCCACCTACCTGAGAGGGCAGATGCTGCAGCTTGACCCGTGAGGCACAGATTGCACTGCCCATGGAATCACATCCGGATGCTCTCCATAGTCGTGTCCAGGGGAGTTCATCCCCCAGAGGACCCTGGGGAGAAGGAAGGAGTAGGTCAAAGGCAGGCCAGAGAGTCTGGATTGGGGAAGGGCTTACAGGTTCCTGCTACTGACCTGAGGGGGTGCTGAGTGGCAGCGTTGCAGACCCCCCAAGAGAGCCATTTGCTTCTCCAGGTGATAAAGCCAGTGGCTGAGCTCAGCTTCACTATGGCAGAGAACAAGGAGCGGGGCAGGCAGTGGGCCTGGGGGCATAAGAGTCAAGTGGGCTAGGAGCAAAGCTTAGAGCTCCCAGAAGCCCACAGGAAAGTTTCCTCTCCAAGGGTTCCAAGTAGACCTCCAAGGCCAGGTCCAGGGGCCCTGGTCCAGTGGTGGCCAGGCCAGCTCTCTCCACACACCTGTAATCTGGAAGGCATGCTCTCTGGACCCATCAATCGTGCAGATGCTCAATTCTGTCAGTGGTAGCAGCCCCTGCCACAGGACAGTATAGGAGGGGCTGCAGGGATTCCTAAAGAACATAGCTACTCCCTCCCTCTGTCTATACTACTCACCTGGAATGTAAGTCCTTCAGAACCATGGGCTTGGAAGTACAGGTGGGAGGGGAATAGCTCTAGGTAGCAGTCACTGATGTCCTAGGGAAGAGTGGAGCCACTAGTCTCAGAGGCTGAGGAGGACAGTCCCAGGGTAGCATAGATGTTGGTCTTCAAGCTTCCCCAAACTGTTTTGGCTCCTACCTGGCTGTGCTTGAATCGCAGCTGGACCTTGGAATAATGCACAACCTTGCCTAGGTTCCTCACAGGTGTCCTCCGCCACCCCTTTTTGAATACACTCAGGAATGGCTGTTCCAGATTTTCTGGCTGATTTTCCATTCCCGGGATATCCTGGAGGAGCAGGGCTCAAGAGAGGGACCAGATGGGGCCAGATCCCCAGGCATATACACACAGCTGCTGCATACAGTTCTGATCTGTCCATGCATGGTCACAGAACACATTCATACCTCACACACACCTAAGCCTCTTCATATGAAAAGTGGAATAAGTATACACCATACAAATACATGAGCCTCCCCACAGTCAGAGCTGTCTACTCTGTGGTACAGACTAAGGTTGATACATAGTAGGTTCAATGCTTATCTTCATTATTTCCATGACTTTGATCATTCAACATTCCAAGATTGTCTAAGAATTCTGGGTATATTATGAGGATGAGATAATGCTTGTGTGCAGTGGCATCTGGCAATGTTCTTTTTACCTGGTTCTATGAAAAATAAACAGTCCTAGTTTGTAATATTTGCTAATTTCTTTGGTGTAAATATTCCCAACACTGCCCAAATTGAGTCACCAACATGATGTCTGTGACCTTGAGACTGAAAAGAGATACAAGTCAGCTTTGTGAGTCTATGTTAGTGTCCCAGCTTACCATGTACATAGGGGCCTATCTTAAAGTAGAAGGTAAAGTACTGACAATGGCCTGAGGAGTTCTTATGACTGAACTTGGGGCCATGTGTAATTCTCTGTTGTAAACACTCAGCCTTAACTCCTCATTTTGCCCCCTTCCTTTCAAGGCTTTACTCAGATTTTACCTTCTTTCTGGATGTCCTAAAATTTTAGTCTTTGATTTTCATTTGGTACTGAGTTAGTCTGACTTATTCTATCTCCCCTTGTTTGTCTTGACTTTGGCATAGGGATGGGAGGTGAAATTTTATTTACTGCTGATTCCACATAGCCTAGGGCATGACCTGGGATGTGCTGAGAGACAGGGAGAGAGGTAGACTGAACATCTACACCAACTCTCAGCCAGTCTTGGAAGATTCCTCTATACCATAATAGAGATCAGGTAGGTATGGACAATGATAGCCTGGAGTAAGCTCTGAGCCACAAGCTTAGGAGAGGGGTTATGTTGCCTTTGGGAGCTTCCCAGGACCACCTGCATGGGCTATTGTGCACTGGCCAAGTTGAGCTACCTCTAGTGCAGGCCTAGGAATGTGAACAGACAAAAACATCTTCCATCCTCACTGGCTCTGGGTGGGGCCTCCTGCACCCACACCCACTGTAGAAACTGATTTGGATGACACTGAAAAATAGGCCATGAATGGGAAGGGCTATGAAGCTAATCCTGGTGCCTAAACAGCCTTGAAGTTCTGTCCCCATGAGGGCTTAGCTTGGAGCCATGGCAAGGCCAGTTCCAGCTCAGGTGCAGAATCTACCTAGAGTCCATAGCTCTAGGTACAGTGCATAGGAGGACTGGTTCCAGGCCTGGCTAGGGCCTCTCCCTCTTACCCTACTTCCCAAGAGTCATGTCTTGCCCTTTCCAGTTATTGTATTTCATCAACTACCCAAGAGCTTTGGGACTCCCTCACTCACAGAGTTATGCCCTGGGCCTGACTAGAGGGAGTCAGGGTCTGAGATGTGGCCATAGGGGGGGATGACACCCTTGGTCACCTCAGGCCCCATCTTCCTCTCTATCTCTTTGAGGCAGCAAGGTTTCTGAAGGTTAACACCTGCTTGCCGAGAGCTCTGGGACCTCAGAGACCAGGAAGGGCTGTGATACAATTTTCCTAGCTTCCTAGGAGCTGGTAAGAAAGGTGTAATTTGGGAGTTTATATCAGCTGCAGCACCCAAGAATACAGGATGGGAGCCTTGCCCCAACCCTGGTAGAGGCTGCACATATAACAGAGCCCGGCCCACTGGGGTGGGTGTGGTTCTCCAAGAGCAGCACAGTAGGAGGTGTTCCAGTCAGACCTGCAGCCCAGGCTCCTCCCAAGTATTTCCAGAGAGTTGGGAAAAAGGGAGGGTAAAGGTGTCTTTTCTCTCAGCTAGCCATTAGGCCCACAGAATGGTTAGCCCTCCGATATCTCATGACAGTTCTATAGATAACTCTGAGCTGGCTCCTTGCTGTATGGGAATGGGTGCCGGCCTATATGGCAGCATGGTAGCTATGCGCTGCAGATAACTAGAAAGAGCCAAGGGTGGGTACGCTTGGGTACTGAGGCCTGCAGTATGCTATTTACCAGGTGCTCCCCCACACTGTTGTTGGGCCCACCAAGACTTCAGTCGGGGTAGTGGAGGTTGAGGGTGGCCACTGTCCCCGTGGATGTGCAACGCACCAAGCAGGCTCTACCTGCTCACCACTGACTCAGAGCTGGTCTTGGTTTCACTCTCAGCCTAGACTTCAGGGTGAGCTCCCCAGGGAGGGGCAGTGTCAACTTCCTCATCTTGTCTTGTATTTGAAACCCTTCATGCTGCCCAGGAATGACCCTGAGTTGCTGGAAGATGCGATGCCCACTTTATCACTCACACTTTGGCACACGCAATCATACAGGAAAAGCACAAAATTATTCTCAGACTCCAGGCCCAGTGCCATACCGTTCCAGACAGACACGCCCCTCCGCTCACCGTCCCGGGGATGTAGTGGAAGATCTTGTTAGCCGTGGTGTCCCCATCAGGCCTAGCCTCGGTGCCGAACAGGCCAGCCAGCTTCCTGGCGCTGTCCTCTCTGGGAACAAGGGAAACCGGAGGCTCAAGGCCTGGCACAGGTAGCAGGTCCAGGGAGATCCTGTTCCCTTGGGGCCAGGTCACACCTCCTCACCTGTTTCCCTTAAGCGAGGGCTTTCTGGAAAAGGAGGCCCTTAGCCTCCTGGGGGTCTGAGGGACGCAGTGGCTGTTCCCCATGGATGGCAGCTGCTAGCTTGGGCTGGGCAGGTCGACAGGTCTGGGTCCTCAGGGCTGTCTGCTAACACCTCCTGCCAGTGGGCGTGACCATAATACGTCCTGCCCCTACCCTGGGGCTGGAGGAGTTCTCTCTGGGCCAGGATTGGCCCCTTTCTGAGGGAAACCTTCCAGTGCAGGGGCCCAGGTGTTCTAGGCCCCAGGCTGGCAGATTGGGGTAAAGCAGACATTTCTTGATTGGACCAGAATCCTAACCTCAGCAGTCTGTATAGGCCTGGCCAGGAGACTCTGGTTTATATACAAGCTATCTGTCTACTTGTGTTCAGACTGGAAGTGCCTGGATGATGAAATTTTATGAGCACAGAGATTCTTCCTCCCAGTTGCCCCTCCCCTGTCAGGGCACACACATCCTGTTTCCACATGAATCCCAGCTGGTCTGAGTCATTGGTGACTATAGGGCTAGTGTGATCATTCTCAGCTGCTCAAGAAGCGCAACACTATAAAGGGAGGCCAGAACTCTCCCCCAGATTTTCTCCTGCCTGGACCAACCCCCACCCAGATGCAAGTCAGGGTTCCCAAGGCTTAACCAAATGCAGGAAGGAGTCCATATGCCTCCCAGGTTTCTAAGACAGTAATGATAAAGTATGTGGGGGGGGGGTGCTATCTTTCTCATGTACCCTATAGCCCCCGGGCATAGGATCCTCAGGACCAGGGTAACACCCAGTCCATGTTGGTCAACAGATACACCAGTCTCTGCTCCATCTGGATGCAAAAGTGCTGTTATGCAGCCCCAGACATTAATGTGGCTTCTGAGTCTGGCTGCACACTTGCCTAAAGACCTTTGCCTTGTTGTCCAAACAGGAGCCAAAGTATGCCATAGGCCCGCAAGCAGAGGGGGCCAGAGATGGACATTTAGCTTCAGGCCCATGGAGCCCAAGAAACACATTTATTGTTCAAGTTGGCTCATATTGCTGTGTAGGATCTAAGTGCATGTTGTGTGCCCAGCTCCACAGAAGATCCAGAAAAGACATTACACTGTATACATAAGACATAGGAAAGAAGTCTGCTTCAGGGACAGTGCCTGGTAGAGACAGATAAGTGCTATGTGCAAAGCGCTGGCTAGGGGCTACATCTTCTTAGAAAGCTTTTGCCTCTTCTCCTGCTGTTGCTCTGCCCTCTGTTTACAGAGCCCAGCTGTGTTGTTCATCCTCCTTCAGTGAGTATCCACCCCCAGCATTCCCTGATGCTCCATGAAGGGAGCCAGGGAAGAGGACACTCTGAAGGGCTCCTTGGTCCCCTACATGCAGGAGAGATGACACTTGACAGCAAATGTGTGAACTGGTAGCTGCAGCACTTCTCATCCATCAATAAATAGGTAGTTGATAAATAAGTGAGTAAACAAATAGTACACAAATAAACGAACAAGGATGAATGAATACGGAGATCAAGACAGAAGAAACAGGAAATCCCTGGTGGGGTATGTGATCTGCCCTAGCATGTGGTAAAGGAGACAGAGGTGGGAGGGGCCACCCCATAAGGTTTAAGGCATGTGGGAGGCTGAAGGGCCTCTGTGCAGTCTGACTTGTGTCAGAGGCTGGTAGAGGACACGGAGAGCGTGGGTGAGGAAGGTGGTGGGAAGTTGAGTAGCTCCAGCACTGCCACACCCACACTGCTACGTCTTGTGAACATACAGGATGCTGCCACCCACTTGTTGGTCCTTGGGTTGTACTTCTCTATGGAGTTGAGGCTGGAGCTGCCATCATTGCCCCCCACAGCGTAGAGCCAGCCGTCCATGGCCACCAGGTCATGTGTGCTCCTGGGGGTTGGGTAGGCAAGAGTAAGCCCAAGGTTCAAGTCAAGAGACAAGCCAAATGAGTGGGGCATAGAAGGAGAAACCGTAGGGACAGGACTAGGAAAGGAGCCCCGGGTGCCTGGGAGGAACCCAAGGACCTGCTGCACTGCTGAGGTGCTGTGTACACAACCCTCGGAGCAAGGATCCTGGGGTAAACCAGATGTAGTGGCAGAACCACTCACCACCCACCCCTGGCCTTATACACCTGCGGATATTCATGGGTGCCACAGTCTCCCAGGCACCAGCCTTGGTGCTATATCTCTCCACTGAGTTGAGGCAGCTTGTGCCATCGTTGCCCCCTGCCACATACAGGGCACCCTCCAGCACTGCTACTCCTGCTGAGCTGCGCCTGCTCAGCATGGAGGCCACAGGCGTCCATGAATTCACCTGTTGAGACAAGGGAACAGGCTGGGGGAAGACCCAACAAAGTACCCACTCCTGCCACAACATAGACTCTACCCTTAGCTGAGTATCTAAGGGTCAGGGTTGGGATACAGAAAGCAGACCCCTTGGGTGGCAGGTGGCCAGAAGATGGGATCATGCCCCACCCAGCAATTGAGAGGAGAAAATTGTGATAGGGGTGCATTATGCACCTGGGGCTCATACTTCTCCACGGTGGCCAGGTGTGATGAGCTGTCATAACCACCCACGGCGTACAGGTTCCCATCTGTGGGAAGGCAATATACCCACGGAGCTCCTGCAGGGTGTAGGGGTTTTGGGGGTGGGTGGGAAGGGGTTAGGCAGGAAAGCAGGTATCACAGAAGCAGGTCCTGTCACCCACCAAGTGTGGCCACACGCACATATCGTCTCCGGGTGCTCATGGCAGCAATGGATGTCCACGTTCCTGTCAGTGGGTCATATCGTTCAGCACTGTGGGCACCAGAATGATGCTGATGTTCAACTACAATAGTCAAGAGACCCTTTCCCAGGACTTGTGTCCCCATTCTCCCCCCTCTCCGCCCCAAGGCTGTGGTTGAAATCCCGTGCTGGTCATCACAGACTATGAATAGACAGAAAGGTGTGGTGGGTGGGCACATGCTACTAGCTGCTTGGACTGGAGGGAGGGTCCCAGAGAAAAGGAGCAGAATGATGCCAAGGCCCCATCGACGTTGTGGCCTGAGATGAAGAGGCCTTGGAGACCCGGTAGTCTGGATTAGGCAGGACCTCATACTCTTGGCCAGATGTGACTTCACAGTGAAGTCAGCCTCATCTGCTGCTGCTGAGGCAACCTTGCAAGGCCACTGAGGCCCTAACCCAAACTACTACCTGTTGAGGCAGGAAGCCCCATCATAGCCGCCAGCTGCATACAGAAGCCCATGCAGGGCAGCTACACCCAGGCAGCTTCGCCTTGTGCCCATGGACACCTCGGGCTGCCATGTATTTGTCACAGGGTCATATGACTCCACCGTTGCCAGGTCTGAGGTTCCATCATAGCTAGGAGAAGAGTCCACTACTGACCAAGGATGGCCTGGTAGGTATGTGACAAATCCTTGACCCATGTCCAGCTTCTACACTTACCCGCCCACAGCATACAGTCGGTTCCCAATAGCAGCAACTCCTACACGGGCCCGGCGTGTGGACATGGAGGCCACTACATGCCAGCGGTCAGTTCGAGTGTCATACGCTTCACAGTCTCCATGGATGGCAAATAGGCTCCCACCACCTGGAAGGTGGGTGACAAAGTAAGTAAAGAGGCTCTGAAAGGCAGGGTAGGGGGCTCTAGTGCAACCCAAGCATAAAGACATGAAGGCTTCAGGGGTGTGAAGAGACAGGGGCTGGGTCACACTGGTGTGCCCCATAAAATAAGGTCATACGTATAGTACTTTGTATTCTGAGTTGGGGTAGACGGTCTAGGGCAAGAATGGGAAGGAGAAAGAGTTCAGCATACCAACAGCAAAGAGCACAGGACCAGCACCCTCACAGCGACGGGGTCTTGTGCGGCTGGTACCCAGAACACCCCTCTGTTCAGGCAGCAGGTGGAACTTAAGAGCCTCAATGAGCAGATCCTTGCAGTCAGGATGATGCCTCACAAGGCTTTCAGCATCGACATGGCCCAGTAGGAAGTCTCGGCTCAGCAGAGGCAGCCGTACACACTTCATCAGCTATGGCAGGAGGTGCCAGGTAAGGTAAGACCCTATGGCATACTTGTCCCAGGGCTAAGATCCACTCAGGTGCCTATAGCACTTGAATGATTAGTTCTTGAGATGGGTGCCTATATCACCCAAAAGGAGTCCCTGAATAGAAGATGCTAAGGACTCCAAGAAGTATGATTACATCTTACCCACCTACATTCCCTCCTAGACACCATGGGAGCTCCAGGGCCTGGCCTCACCCTTGGTACATGCTGCCTCCGAGTGTCTACATCATGTTTGACCCAGCTCAGCACTGCACGATAGACATCTTCCTCTGAGGGCACGTTCAGGCTATCACTAGAGACCAATTCCAGTACCTGCGGGTGAGAGGTCCTCAGACCTAACATCTGGTTAGGGGAGGGCCCAGAAAACCATGAAGGTGTGAGAGGATCAGACAGAGAGCATGTGCATGTGCACGCACAAACACACACTAAAGTTTTTAGAGCAAAGGACAAAGCACAGTCAAGATTCACAGATTTTTGGTTCTAGTGGTGGTAGCGATGGGTAGGAGGGGTGTCCTAGGCCCTGAGTAGTTTTACATACATAGAATCAGAGACTGGGGAATCACAGTCCTGGAATATGGTAAAGACAGGAATCTAAGGCAAATGATTGGGTGGAGTCAGAAGATGGGATGGGGTTGGCGGCAGATGGGCAGGGAATGGATCACAGGGTGAAACTTGCACCAGGAACTTGAGAATGAAGATTGCAGAACACTGGCACTTAGGGGCTAGGCTGGGCAATGTAGGGCATGGGCTGGGCCCAAACTGGCATGTTACCTGCTTCAGTGGTTACCTGCTTCAGTGGCAACAGCATGAACTCCTCAGTCTTGGCCACATCCACGAAGTGCTGCAGCACGTACCTGTGTGCTGCCTTGAGCAGGTCACTGCATGAGTGTGTGTCTGCAAATCCTCGGATGCCCAGGCAGTTGGAAGGGTCAAGCTGGCTCAGGAGAAACTTGCAGCAGGCGTCTCGGACACCATTCAACTGTAGAAGGCTGGCAGCTGGGAGTAGAGTCTGGGGCACCAAGATGGGTGAGGCAGGAGGGGCCCAGAGGAGCACAGAGTAACTGGCAATCGAGGAGAGGCATGGGGAGACCAGGCTACACAGATCTAGGGCTGGAGACCACAGAGATATATGGGTGTGGGAATGGC